GACCACTCACTCAGAGCGATCTCGTTCTCCGGAATCATCGGAGCCGGCGGAGGCAGCACCTGGAAGACGGTACGCCCTACCCAAGCAGGTTCCTCCAGAACCTTTGGCACCTTCCACTCAGCCTGGGAACTAGATTCTAGCCCATGCTCGTTCACCTTGACCACAGTGCAGGAATCAGCAAGCTGTTTCAAAGGCACTGGACAATCACTCTCATCAGGGAAAAAGGGACACGAGCGCCGTGTGCGGTGATAACGAATCAGCTTATCCCCCTCAAGAGACCATTCATCTGAACCCTCGAAGCTGCGAACTTCGGCACTGAGGCAATGGCTGCAACTCTCCCGCGGCTGTGGGTCGCTGGCATTCTCGAAGTTCGCCACGGGAATCATGTACTGCCCGGCCTCGATCATCCTGACCGGGGTCTTGGACTCGAAAATCATCAGCTCGTCGGCATCAAAGTCCATCTGGGCCTTGAGGCGCTTCAGCGCCGCTCTGGACAACAGCAGGGGTGCCTGCCCCTTGATGACTGCGGCTCGCACCGCTCCGCGGCGACCCGCCACCATGATGGGCATCTCAACCACCTTGTTCGTCACCTCCTCATGGCCATTGCCAAACCTGAACGTGTTCCGCTCAGCCGAAGGCCTTGGCTGATCAATCCCGGCCTTGGTCCACAACCTGCGGAACTGAGCCAGCGTCTCCTCGCCCACGATGCTCCGTCCGCAGCCTGAGTCCAGCACCGCGTAGCCCGGCGACGACACCAACAGTGCCTCCTCTGGGCCTCTTCTCAGCCGGTCTCGTAGGACCTGCAGCATCGTTGGCTTTCCCTGCTCCGGTGGCACAACCGCGCTCACATAGCAGACGAAGTGTTGGCCCTGGGCTTGTACCATGCTTGCTCCCGAGGCACTCGATGCCGTTGCGGCGCCGGCTGAGGCAGAGCCGGCCTGGTTGCTGCGCGGGAGCTTGCACTCGATCTCTCGCCCAATGGCCCGTGCGCCCGCAGCGGTGGCATTGGGTCCTCTTTTTGAGTTCCTCCACTTCAACCTTGAAGCTCCTCTTGACCTCTCGCGCCTGCGCAAAGCGCCGCGAGCGGTGAAGCCTGTTCAGCTCTTGACGCTTGTCCTTCCACGTGGCGGCAAGTACTTCCGCCACCTCATCTTCTTGAAAGATCTCCTCCGGGACGTCGTCAGTCACCGTCCCGTGCTCGGCAAGAAACGCCTCGACGTCGTGAAGGTCCGGCTCGTCGGGGTCCTCCTCGTAGTAGCCGCCGGCCTCCTGGGAGGGCTGCTGGTCATGCCACCAGTCCTCCTCATGCTCAGCGTAATGCGCTGCTGTGGCGCGCCGTCTTGGCACCACGAACTCGGGATAGCAGGAGCCTGTGCCATGTCGTCCAGCTTGAGGCTTCCGTTGCCTCGGGCCAGAACCACAGCTCTCTGTTCCTC